AATTGCAACACTTTTGGAACGGGCAGTAACTCAATTAACCATATTCCGTTCTCGTATCTTCTAGTACTAGGTTAACGATATTTTATGTTCTTTTCGTAGTAATCTGTTCTGTCTTGAAAACAATAATATATCTAAATTGTACTTTTAGTAAACCTAATCCATCAAGTAGCAGTTGCAATAAGTACATTTGTCATCCGACTAGATGTATTGTCTTCGTCTACGCTAAAATTGCAGTGCAGTGCAGCCCAGTCAGATACTACCACCCCGCTCAGATGTGTGATAATCCTTGTAAGCCCTGCACGGAGCGCCACGACTGTCACAAATCAGACCATTGATTGCCAGGCGAATTCAGACACCTACGATCGAGATGATGAATTGACAAACCACGAGGGCCGGTGTTTGTGTGATTTGAATAACCCAGGCCTGTTGCTTACCATTCGACACTTCACAGCTCCAAACTCCCTTTTTATAAGCAATGCTCAAGCCACACCCATGGATACATCACCCCTAGGAGTCATCCCAGTGACCATAGCTATGATTGGCGATAGTGGAAGCCCTGCGCCGTTGCTTGCATTGTAACCTTTCGCTGCACATAAACCAAGACCGACCTGCACCGGCCTGGCAACCCAATTGGCGATCACTGATGCAGGCACCCGGAGTGTTTATTCGTGGGCGGTTCGCATGATCGGAGAAGGTGGAGCATGGCCATATTCTCGCAGATGCAAGCAAGATACATGAGCCCTTGGGATTGGTTAATCTGGCCACGAGCCGTTTCGTCCCCTTGATGACTTGCATTTATTTGTGCCGTAATGCATGCAAATCAGAACCTCGGTTGTGCTCCCGAGTACTATCCATCGACCATAAAGAGAATGACATTTGCCATGCATCACAAACCAAGATATCGCAGCCGGCTTCTGTGTAACTGCTGAGTTCTAGCCTCTGTCAGAAGCTCGCTTATCTATGCCCAGCCGAAACTCCGTGCATGATGCTTCATTTCGCATCTTCTTTGCCATAAGCTGAGATTTGGTGAAAATGGGTCTTATCCTAATTGTTTAATCAAAAGTCGTAATTGGCTTTGTTTGACTGGTTTGTCAAATCGAGTCAACCCTCAGTAAGCAATATATTTCTAGGGGTTTGAATTCTCGTCCAGTTCGAGTGTCCGCCAAGACTATTATTATCCTTGAATATTTCGAAATAAGGGACTTTTCTGACAAGACTTCAGTTTGACTAATTTGCCAAGCATTTGATTTGATTCGATGGACACACTGATCCCTACTACGTACGTCCTCCTGCATTCGACCAAAAATATACCTCGACTGGCCACGGCGTGGGGAAGGGCTTGCCCGGTCCAATTTACCCCTGGCAAGTGCAGGTGACGGGTGCTTCCTCTGCAGCGGATCCTTGCACGTGCCCTTCTGAGCCAGTGTGGGAACGATGAAGTGTAGGATATTTTGAACATGTTTTCTGAGTCACATCCTCGGATGATCTGTCGTTTTTCTATTGATATAACCACGGTATGCTTGTGAGATATGGGAATATTGATTCAAGTGACTTCCATGATAGTGAGAAGCCATTCTCCAGCACATGTGATACCTCCGAGAGGTCATTAGTACGGGTGTTCGTAGTTCGAGTCACAGCACGCTCAGAAAAGCCATAGGGCCAGCAGAAATTCAGGCTTTAAAGAGGATGTGGCCCATTCATCTCTGTTGAAATAAGTAAGGTCGAGCTAGCGGTGACTTTTCCGTGTGGCACAATGCCGTACGTGATTTACGGCGCTGATGGGGGCATTTTCAAACCGTGCCCATGCATGGAAGGCATAAAGAGGTTTCAGATGCCTAAATACCTCCTTCGCAAGAAGGGCAAAACCTCTTCTCAAACCTCGACTTCAGTATTCTTCGTCTTTCTACAAGAAGTCCCTGACATTGTAGGGAAATCAACAATATGGACTCCTTGTTCTCTCAGGTGAGAGCTTCGGCCAGCAAAGCCAATGAGGCAGAGCGTAAGAAAATCATCGATGGGCTCCGAGACTTGGCCTTCTCTATCGAATCGCCAGAGGATACTATGCAAAGGATCATGTTCCAGGTATCGCAGCTGCCTCGCTCTTCAGAGCCATTCACAGGCTCTAAAAGATATCATCTTTGCATTGCCTGAGATGCATGGTTGACTTTTACGTTAGCATCTTCAAATCGCTGGAGCACGCATAGCGATCGACTTGAACCTCTTCAACATGCTTGCGACGAGCAGCCCGTTGACAACACGGCAGTTGGCCCAAGCAAAGGGTGCCAATGAAGCCTTAATGGGTCAGATCCTACACTCTCTTCTTCACCCTCTCTGATCCCGTCCAGGACGTCTTTTGAGGTATCTAGCGTCTGTTGGGATGATCAAAGAGACTGGTCAGGACACTTTCGCTGCAACAAATATCACCCAAACACTGGCTACTCCAGGATGGCAGGCCGGTGTTCGTCACTAGTAAGTGTTTCCATTCCAGATGGCACAACGTCGGGTCCACCAATCTCATGCCTCCATGAACCGACTCATTGAGAAGCGATCTAATCTCTGACCACCCTAGCTTCGACAACTGTGGGCCGGTCTTTCAGAAGCTGCCCGAGTTCCTGGCCAAAACCAAATATCAAGCTATCACTGATAACGCAAAATGTGTTCTCCAACCAGCCTTTAATATCAACGTGCCAGCCTTTATTTGGCTTCAACAAAATCCAGCACGATTTGCAACGTTTCAGCAGTACATGATGCAACAGCGAGAGGGAATGCCTACTTGGCTCACCGTGTACCCGGTCAGTAGAGAGACTAAAGAATGGGATCCCGATCGCCCTGTCTTCGTTGATGTTGGTGGAGGGCTTGGTCATCAATGCGCGGCCCTGAAGGCGAAGTATCCAGACCTACGAGGACGCGTGATCGTGCAGGATCTTCCAAATGCGATTGAGGCTGCGCTATCTACCCCTGGTGTGCAGAACATGGTCCATGACTTCTTCTCGCCGCAGCCCGTCAAAGGTAAGAGTTCAGCTTCGGCGCGTTTTGATATCAATGAGACCCACACTTATGAACACTCGCAGGCGCAAAGTACTACTACATGCGCAACATCCTCCACGATTATCCCGACGACAAGTGCTTGGTGATCTTAAAGTACTTGATCGCAGCCATGAGCAAGGAATCGGTGCTTCTCATCGACGATATGGTGCTCCCAAACTCGAAAGTTCATTGGCAGGCGGCTCAATTGGATATCACTCTGATGGCTTCTCTGGCATCTGTTGAGCGGACTAAGGCACAATGGCTGACCCTGTTGGACCGGGCCGGCTTGAAAGTCGTCAACATCTACACATACACAGTGTCGCTGCAGGATAGTATTATTGCGGCGGTTCCAAAACAGGTGTCAATCTCGAAGGCTTTGCCTGACAAGGGAGAAACAAAGAAGCTGGACTATCAGTCAAAAGTCCGACCCTGAGGTCATCGAGATGAATTAGGGAGTTGCCTGGTTGGTTATTCAGGTGTTTGTATCCAGTGTTTGAGTAGACGATCTGTAGAGTATAGCACAAGAAAATGTTCCCGGTCATGCTAGATTTAGCATAGCAAGGCCACCGGATCCCAGATCAGTGTGTCCATTTGAGTCCATTTGAATCAGATTGAGTCAAATGAACCAAAACAAATGCTTGTCAATAAACCAAATCCGTGCTTTCGTCGTCTTCTATTGAAAAAGTATTCATGGTTATTCAATTTGATGAAAAGATAAAGTCTTGGCGGACTGTCCGTGAGATAAAAAATCCTTGACTGTCCTCCCAATATAACATTGCTGACTTAGCAACATTTGACTTATTTGACAAAGGAGTCGGACCAATTCAGAATCGATCTCTGGGATCAGACAGCAATCAACTGAGTGTCATGATTTGGTTTATTTGATTTGATGTCACCGATTCAGCTAAGCGCCATTAACTGCCTCAAAGCTTGCTCGTCATACTAGTAGTCTACTCCCTCTGCGGCCCACAAAGCGTTGAGCTAAGTAACAGCGTTGACAGTTGTTATCATTCTGAATCAAACGGCTAAAAGCCCCATTGACTCTTCCTTGCCACTGACGCGCATACAATTTTGGGAAGTGTGAGTGATTGCCTTAGAGACTAGGTAACACATCTCCTTCAGCTTTGTTGCCATGCATTTGCAGCAACACGAGGCACGTTCACCCATCTCATCACAATTGTGGATCGACGGCTTGATCACCATAGTTGACAGGACCGCGATTAGCCCGAAGTTACAGGTACCAGGAGCAGGTACGCTATTTAGGAGAGTGTTGTGCGAGACATGCGAAGCCTGATCCAGCATTTTACTTCCACTCCATCACATGCAATCGCCTCAACAGGATTCATTCGGGTACGACTGTTTAGGGATGTTCAACGTAGCCCGACAGTCTCTCAGCAGCCACGCAGAATACCTCCGAAAGTTAATACAAAGCACATCTTGCCTTGCTCAGCACGAACAATAGCACTCCTTGTATATTCGTGGCGCTATTAAGTCTCGACCCTGCCGCTCCCTGAACCCTGTCTAGGTTCGACATCACGGCATACCCTTAGCGAACGACTTTTGCGGCCCCCAATCCTAATGACATGCATGTGATACGCGAAGGGTATAGTACGGTGGTACCACAACGCTAAATTGCCCGAGGGATCCCTGTACAGATTGAGCGTTAGTTGACGCAGGTGATGTTTATCCGCTAAAGATCGACATGGTCCCAACTGCCGACCAATGCAAACACAAAGTCACAACCTCCTGTTCGCGGGATGCTGGCGACTTTTCCCACGTCAAAGTTCCTGCACAACCTGGGATAGATTCCCCGCAGTTATGCGGTCCCGTTCGGATGTGAGATTGCGTCCAGAAACAACAACTCATGCTGCGCTTTCGGCTGAACTCTGGGCGAGAATGGGGCGAATGAGTTCGTGGAACAGGGACCCGGCACTACACACCAGATGGTGTACTACGTAATACAATAACACGCTATAACCTTACATGCATGAACTCTTCTCAAGTGTAGGGTTCGTATCATCCACTAAAATCGCTTCTGTGAGAGACTGTCTGATTGTAATGCCAGGGGAAGTACACATCAACCATTCCTCCACAAGGATAGCGCGTATGGGCTTCAAGCCACCTTTGACTGCTGTACCCCTTCTGCCACAATAACCATCTTGGCAACCTCTGACGATAACTACCCACTCTCATCTTGCTCGACCATTGACTGCCCAGCGATATCTAGTACTTGGCGACTCCTCAAATATACCACGTCACCAACCCACCCAAGACCTCAGCAGGATACACACCTGGACCCTCTACTCTGTATCTAGCGCTCCTCCAAGACTGATCGGCACAATCCGATCGTTTTCCTTTTCCCAAAATCCAAGCCAAGGCACACACCACTAATACAGCCGCCGTTGGCCTTGCGGCCTCCCTGGCTGAAGTGACTGCCGGCAGAAGGCCCAATGAACTGGTGGTCTGACATTCAAATTTTAAGTTTGTCAGATAGGCAGGCTTTGCCACAAGGGCGGCCCCCAGGGCCCGGCGATTCAGAGTTCGTTGTGTTTAAGCCGAAACTTAGCCAAAATTCGCAGGCATACTTTGGACAAATTTCGGCTGAAACGCCACAAAATCTGACCCCCCCTGTGCTGTCTTTTCGAAGGGTGGGGCGTACGTGCTCTGACTTGAAAGGGTTGGGTCTCACGAATACTCCTATCGCATAAATTACCGGTACGGATACGGGTATGTCTGTGGGAGGAACCGTTGTGCTACTTCCAGTACCCGCCTGAACGGCTTGGCGTTGTTGCGCGCTATCGGCTCAAGCCTCAATTCTATGCGGGTTGGAAATCTAGATACAAAGTTCGAACGGAAATAGCTCCACAGGCGCCAAGGTCTCACAGCGCTTCTTCCTGGCGCCAAACTAAAGCTAATACAACCTCTGTCAAAGGTTTATACAAGGTATGTATTTCTCTCTCTCTATGGATTTTGTCTGGGACTGAGAGGAGGCGCCTCGCCTACAATGGCTCACAGGAGCTGCACTGCTGCAGCAGGCGGGCTAAGAACGACTCCTTACGAAGGCCTAGCCATTCTGGCCCATCTTGTGAGTGAGGTGCCTTAGTAGTATCTTCTCCACTATTGAATTTTCATAAAATCCCTCATGCAACAGTGTTGCTGATCGTAGACACTAGCTCGATACTACTAGTAGTACCCATACCTTAGTGGCGTATCTACCGGTCTCGAAACCGGTTATAGGTTCCTTATTCTTGCTGGCTTGAGACGCGGGTTCACAAATCCCGATATCAAGACTTTACCGTTACTTACTAAGATTCGGGACGACAGCGACAAAAGAGTGCCTAGGCCCCCAATGATATACTGCTTCTGTGGATCTTTGCTTCCATTCTATAGTTCTCTCGCATTTCGATCCTCCACCCACTTTACCATCTGGTCCCAGTTTCGACAGGCATGAGCAATGCCAAAACCCACTACCCCATGCAGATTCTCATCCTTGGCCTCTATCGTCGTATCGGCATGACACATAACGCTCTGCCGCAGGAACTCGATGCAATGCAAGACGTGGTTTAGCGTGATCGACTCTGGTGGTAGGTCCGCGGGGTTCGTGCCGTTTTCCAGCGCTGTTTTCGCATCCCAGACTTGGTAGAAGCCGCGGCGTAATGTGTCCTGTTTGTAGGAGAAGCGAGTGAGTGAGTGCGGAACAATGCCTAGCACGGTCTACAGATGGGGCGGCGGCGGTTTAAAGAGATAGCTTGAGGAAAACATGGAAAACGTACAACGCAGTGCAGCTGATGAAATCCCGCAAAGGTGGAACGACGGGGGTTCTTGTCGGGATAGTTGAAAAAGCCATGATTGCCTGGATAGAGGGAACTCCAGATGGCGTTGGACTCGTTCGAGGGACGTTGCAGGAAAGTTCTGTTCGATCTAAAAGCGATGGAAAGCGGCTGCACTGCGAAGGAGATGGGGAATGAGTATCATGCCAGAGTCTGCCATGAGCTGAAAAAAAGGAGTGTGTTGGAACGTACAAGGTACATCATATGAAACGTCAAGCATGGAGGCTTTTCCTGCTCCAAAGCCCGCAAGCCCGCCTAGGAAGAAGGAGCTGGTCGCAAATAGTACCAAGAACATCCATCTGGACCAAGTAAACTGTGCGTGACTTTCTCTCAACGACCACGCCCTTGGGATTTTCTCTTCGTCGTCAGAAACCGGAACATAGTCGTACTTTGGGGGAGACGTAGAGTGCATTGTGGCACACGGGAAACAAAGCACAGAAAAGAAAGGCTGACGAAAACGCCCCACCACCGAGGTGGGGGGCTCGTAACTTGAAATGATTTCAAATGCCTGGCGACATTGATCTGTCGTGAGTTTGGGCAGAGAACTTGAAATGCTCTCCTCTCAGACGGCTGCACGACCAAGCCCGGTGATCAATCGTTGAGAGCCCAGGCTTCGTGTGCAGCACGGTTAAGGCCATCAAAAGTGATCCAATAGCCCCCCTCCCCGCGGTCCACAACGTCTGGAGGCCAGATGAAGTCTACCTGTGCACATCATAACGAGGCTTCTGGGATTGATGGACGATGGACCAACATGGGGCCTCTCTAGGTCGGGCGTCTTAGATTGTGGCTTGAACTGCTAGCATGCCGTTGAGATGCCAAGATACCGGTCTGGAGATTTCGGTCTCGAAGTGAAACTGTACCCGGATACGAGGTACATGACGCCATTAGCCTAACGGCGCTGACGATCGCTGAACTTTGTTTCTTCACCAATTGTGATAATCAATCTAAGCCCAAAAGGGGAATTCCAACCGAATGGCTGGACTTGGATCTCAGATCTAGAATCACATCATGAGTGTCTGGACGGATATACTTTTGCCTTACTTGGTTCAGTTATCAGGGGTCGAGGTACGTTCTCGTACGTTTGTAAAGTAAGCATCGCGACTCGTAAATTAACGGAAATTTGGATCACTTATGATACCAGTATTTTACAGCTAAATCTCAAGATCTTGGACAGATTTTAATAAACTTTAAGTCTGGGCGGATGATTGATTCCGGATTCTTTGACAAAAATTTTGAGACGTTTTAAGATCTAATTAGGCCTAGCGTTATCTACCTCAGAGCTACTGTCAGTTATAGTATTATGATTCATCCAAAATTGACAGTTAAAATCGTGTATTACAAAGGAATGATCATTAGTCTTGATCCCTCAGGGGTCAGTTGCATGATATTCAAGTTGTCCACCACCGATCATCCGCCAAGACTTTTCTCAGTGCACTTAATCCACTCTCCGTCCTGTCCACCGCCTCCCAAATACTGATTAGGCCAATTTAAAATTTCCTGAGGTAGAATGCCTCATCTCGTCAGACTACGGCTTCATCTGCTAGGCAGCTGCTCCCGCATCAGCATTCCGTCTCTGACAGAGCATGTACAAGCGAATTGTCCAAGAATCGGTGGTCTTACCTCACTATTTGAAGTCCTCGGCATAGAACTCCTCGTCAGGGTACACAACGCTCTCGTCCGCATCAACAGCTGAGACCGGGTTAGCATCTGGTTGGACCTAGAACGCCCCCCTTCACCCCTGCAAGGCGGGACGCACATCGCTTGAAGTCCTCGGCGTAGAATTGCTCGTCAGGATAGACCACAGCTTCGTCGGCATCGACTCGTTTTGCTACCCCAGCTGCGAGATTTAGAAGACTGGCATCGCTGGGAGACTGGGCTGTTATAGACTTACAAGCCTCGTAGACGATGGGTGATGCGGTCGCGCAGATTCCGAGAGCCGCAAGGACCAAAACTAGTAAACGCATCCTGAAAGCTCGGGAATGGGAAGCAGGGAGATGTTTTGGTGGGGGTGAAAGCAATCCAGCGAGCCTGCGATCTGTTCCAAGTGGTTATATCCCTTGTATATATTGGTTTTGCGGTATCCGTATAACACATGCCAATCTCGGCTCGAGCTACAGGGACAGAGCCCATCATGGAAGAAAAGTCGGTAAAAAATGCAAGGCGATAGGCGAACCGAGAAGATCCCTACTGCTCAGTTACTACTATGTAAGATGTCTCAGATGAGATAAGTCAACCTGATGGCCCATGTTGGGCCACCGGCTCTGCCGTTGCGAAGTGTGATCTGGGTGCTGATTACTAGCCAGGGTATGGACAGGTTCCGCGCAAGATTTGATCGCTTCTTGGCGGACTATCTGCATCGAAGCTTGGCGCATCTTGACCAGATGTACCCTGCTCAAGAAAAGAAGTTTCAACTCTCCATCAATGCACTGTCAGGGTGGAAAAGACTGAGCCTCGAGCAGGTCTGCAGCTATTATTTTCTCATAGCTACAAAGGTCACTAGTATGTTCGGTAGTAAAAGTACGAACAGTGCTGAGCAGAAACCATTCATCCCCCTGCAGGAAGAGAGGGAGTTGATGTCAAAACCAAGAAATCAACAGTCTCTAGCCATCTACTTACATATTGCCCTAATCTTTCTATACACCATTGTCAGCGTTGTTGGAATACGATCGAGCACTAAACACTGCTCACAGCCATCAAAAGGTGAGCTGACGGTCCCGCTCCAGAGTTTAATCTCAGAGCAGATAGTGGATCGCTGAATGGTGAAACGTGTACTGAGCTGTGTTCATAGCCCTCTCAGACTTGTCTATCAAGTATGACTCTCAAGTCTTCGATAAGATGCACGACAGTCCGTACGTTGGGCCGCCCAGCGAGCCACTTGATACAGCATGGCAACATCTTCTCGCAAACATGAGCATCCGCGTAACAGAAGGCGAACTGCAGCGACATGGACAAAGCTCCGTTGCCCTCCCTGGTGGAGGTCATTTAGCCTGGTTGGGCGTCTTCCACCAGCTGCACTGTGTGGTGAGTATAACCAGCAACATACTTCGGTCCGCTGATTTGACATCTCTGGTTTATTCCCTCCAGTTCTCTGCTGGTTGAACAAGCTGACGACGGCCTTGCGCAGAAAACCCTGCGGCAGTTGAATTATCGAGAACAATACCATCCAAACATGAGTGCGAAGGAGACGAGGAATTGGCAGGTGCATGCGGATCATTGTCTTGAGCTCCTGCGAGCGGCAAGTATGTGTCACGCGGATACGACATCTTTAACAACTTTTATGTGGTACAAGAGCGAGAAGCCGATGCTGAGCCATCAGAGGCCACCGCATCAGTGTGTGGATTGGGGTGAGCTTTTGGAGTCCATACGGCATCGCGTTGTAGGTAGCGAAGAGATGACGAGGCTGAAGAACCCGCTGCTGCATGGGGACGCACTGCCCTAGAGTATCTGTTTTGAGGACGTCCATCAATATGACGCCGCAAGTCGGACAGTTGTAAAAGCCTGGCGTTGTGGCCCGCAGCGTTCGGAAACAGCACAACCGTACTAACCTTACTAATGGTCCCGTGGTTCGGTACAGGCAGTTCTAGCCATTCCAACGGTACAAGACCAGGCCCTCCATACTACCGTTGTGACCGTACCAGTGCCGAAATAGGTAGTAGATACTCTAGATAAGAAGTTAAGAAAGGGAGAGAGGAGGAGAGGGTCCGCCAAGCCTTATTAATTGTCGTGTAAAATATAAGCTGTCAAACGTTATTTTTACGCGTTATCCCTGCGTTTTTCTTGCTTTTGATTGGTCAATTTCTGCTGCAATTTCGCTGCCAATTTCGCTGTGCCGTACAGCAAATTTGTACTTATTTCTGCTGAACGAACAGAGCCATTTTCTTCCTCCTGCTCCACAGGTACGTACTGATGGTACACTGTACCAACGCCACAATAGTGCTCCTGGTTAGGATGGTACGGTGCAGACCCCCTTGTACCGTCTTGTCGTGCTGTTTCCGAACGCTGGTTGTGGGCTGTGATCAGAGGATCCGCCTGAAAAAGAAAGGTTATGTGGTCTGCCATTTGTCGAGCAGACGCTCCAATTGCATCCAGTCGTAACACCGGTGCCGTACGCCGAAGCCATGCACTCCGCCCGCTACCACATCCTTCTCTTCTATCGTTGTGTCAGCAGTGCACATAATACTCTGCCTCAGCAAGTCGAGACAGTGTCGAACGTGTGCTGGTGATGACATGATGTCTAATTCACTCTCATTGATCCGTTTCCCTTCAGTGGCGGCGACAAAGGCGTGCCAGTATCCATGACGCACCGCGTCCTAGAGGTCGACTATCAGCTAAAGGTGTCGAACATGCGAGATGCTTCGCAACATAAAGTGGCAGGGGATCTCATACCAAGCAATGGAGTTGATGGTAAACAGATAGCGTCGAACGGTGAGGAGCGATATGGGGGTCACTGAAGTATGTTCCTCCGCTTGGGAACATCTCACGCCATGCTCGGTTGGTCTGGTTTGATGGGATGTCTGCGAAGGTCCTGTTATATCGGAAGGTCACAGGGATGGTGTCGACTGACGATTGTCAGTAACTCTTGATAGGTTAGGAAGTCTGACATATAGAGCTCACGGCGGATGGGAGGATAGCTGGACATAGAGTGTCGGCCCAGGAGAAAGGCCGTGGCCAAGCTCGCGAAAAAAGCAAACAACCATGGGAAAAGCGAAGTAATCATTCTGGCTTGGCCATGCAGTTGCAATTGTGATCTTGTACCTGTCAATGATCCATTTACTTGTTTAACGACAGTGTAATTGTAACGATGTGTCATCCATTTTGGTAACCACGACATTGTGCGAAAAGGACGTCAGAAAACCAGTGCTGCTCGCTGGAGAGGCTCTTAGGTCAAGCCGGAGCAGAGTCTAGGCGACAACGGAGCACAACGAGCTCATCAAACTGCTTTCTTCTCTATGGCGGCGTCACGGGATGAAGAGGCAGAGACTTGCTCCCATGGGCACCTTTGCCATTAGCTACGTATGACCAGACTCCATCCGTGTGTTCGGCTCTCTTTCCCTGCTTTGTGGACATAGGATTAGGGGCTACCAACCTGACAGGGTGTCAAGGCGCGTGTAGGAGACCACCTGGCAGAAGAAGCGAGTGTAATATTCCCAAACATGAGTAGGGGCAGTGCATGTGATCACGCACCTACTTATGTAGTGGACTGTTCCTTCGCTTCCGAGGTGCCACTCATCTAGTACTTAAGTGGGCAGAAGCTTTATATTCTTCTGGTCGAAGGTTCGGGGCTTGGGAACCCTGCCGCAATACTCGCATACCAATTTTGACCTCTCCAAATTCCATTTCCACTTCGAGACCTGAGCACATGTGACTCTGACCTGAGCGATGAATAAGCGGCCCTGAGCTGTGGCTGTGCAAGATTGTTCCGAGCCTGAGCAGCCCTGAGCAGCCCTGAGCATGGACTGGATTCTACCCTGAGCTCCCCATGGGGGCCAGATTATGGGCCACTCTCCCAGCTCGAAGAGCCTAATTTCGTGCCCTTTCAGGTTGTTGGGTTCCAGTTTCCGGCCCCTATTATATCACTCGCGTACACTTGCCCTTTGATCTGACTAGTTATGCGCGCGGGGGGGGCATGGGAGAACGTACATAAGTAATGTGTGGGTTACTGATGTCTGACCAGCATCCGAACCTTTTTGGCTCTGCGGTAGGGCGGTCGTTGTCTAGACAAACTACATATGTTCCTAATATGTTTTAGTAAGGTTGCCGCCGTCTTACATCTTAAGGCAAGTTTCTCGGAATAATTATGGCCGACCTTGAAATAATACTACTCCAGCATCTCGGGTGTTTGGCCTCAGCGAACTCGAAGAAATTAACTTCTAGAAAAGAGCAGCTGCGGCACGCAATAGCCAGATCCGAACTCGTGTTATAGCTAGAAACCAAGATAATAGAAAGTGGGGTTTAGTATTCGGGCCGGATACAGATATAGTTAGCCGAAAAGAAGGCGAAGTATTCCTATTCCCCCCCCCCCTCTTTGATCGGATTAATTAATCCACACACCATCTTTGACTTGTCGTAAGCATATTAATAGAAGAAGCGAGACACAGCCAACTGTGAATGTTATCCCTAAAAAATGCCACATCCCCGTTTCTAGCACGAAATGTCCACTCATTTCGTCTCTCGTCGCTCGCAGTCAGCCACTCCAAGTACTTCGAATCCCGATTCTTTGAGATTGATGCAACCATGTAGGCTCTCACTTCTGGATCTGCGAGCACAGTCGCTGTTCTCGATTTGATCCTGGCGATACCATCTGGTGGAATGAATTTGGATAGATTGATTTGCAGGCCCGGTTGTGCCTGAATGTCGTACTCTTCCATGATCTTGCACACTGCCATTCCCGCCTCGAACAGCTTTTCGACCGATGACTCAGAGCGAGCCAATTCGACATGATAGAGCGAGGTGACATAGATTACCTTTTTCTCTGTTTTGCGAACAGAGCAAAGTAGACCAGGCTTTTGTCTTTCGTCTATATTCGAGTGATTGACTTCATCCGAGAAAACGATTGCATACTGGTTTTGCTTATTGTACTCGGGGTTAAATTTCGTGAACTGGTCCCACGACTTCTAGATCGTACCATTTGGTTGGATTTTCAGACATGTCATAAAGCACACATGTCGATCGCTTAACCAGTCCTTTTGTGCCTGATTCAATATCCATCTTGGGATCTGTAACCTTTTCAAGGCCGATGTTGGATTCGCCAACAAGGGCAGGGGTTGCTGAGTCAAACATGAAGCCTTGCATGGAAGATCATAAGTCCTTCGCCGTTGGGATCGACGGTGCCGACCTGATGTGTACCTACTACTGGAAGACCTAGCTTCGCAGTTCGAACAAATGTAGACTGTGCCCACCTGTATCCTTTATAGGGCAATCTTGGTGCTCGGTTGAAGATGATTGCAGGGGCAACAGCTCTCCATTGCTTCCATAACGCTGACATGCGAAGCGAGGCACAATCCGACTGGTCAGTTGTATATTTCAGAATTGGCGCAAGGTCCAGACCCATGAGATTGCAGATACAAATGGCTTCATCTGTAGCCCAGCTCGTAGACCGCCCTCCCAAGCTGATGTGGAGTTGAAGGAGGCGGTATAAAATGCATTCGAACCCTCCTCTCCGGGTGCATTACCGGCAATAGGCCTGTGAGACTGCTCACGTAGTCCACTCAACCTTTTAGACAAGGCGTCTTGAAAAAGCCCGTAGCTCAAAACCTTAGACGCCGAATCTATGGGCACTGAATCAGGGCATTCCAGGTAGAACTCCTGGGTCAAAGTCTCAAGATTTACGGCCTTATCCTTGAACTGGAACCAAAGCTGCTTTGCGAATCTTGCTTCCTGCAATTTCCAAAGTCGAGTCATCCAGGTTGTCCGATAGATCTGCATCAACAACTCCAACCTCGACAACCCGACAGTGGATATTGAGCACGCGTTGCGGTCTAGCACAAGCACATGCGAAGCTCGCTCGTACGTCACCCGCATTTTCATGATTGCTGTGCGTCGAGATTCCTTTGGTTCTATTGGACAACACAAAGTATCCATCCAGAATGGCATTGGCTTTTCGTGCCTTCCAGTTTGAGAAATTAGGCGATTGACAAATCCTTGGATACGCTGCAGCTGACACTTGGGCAAGGAATTCTTCCTGGGGTTACCAAGTCCATGCGACCAGACATGAGAGACTGCAACATAGTTGTCCTTTGACGCGGCATCGCAAACCTTAACGAATGTCTCACGCTCAGTCGTAGGGGAAAGTGTCAGGGCGCTCAGGCCTGAACCTAAGCCACTCGAAGTTGATTTAGCTGGAGTTGAAATAGTGACAAGCGGAAAGCTGTCATCGTCACTTTCCAGTATTTTCGAAGAAATGGCAGGATCAAGATCAAGGTGAGGACATCTACACTCAGTGCCATCTTTCGGTGCATGCATTACTTTGTACTTGTCGGGGTCCAGTTGATAGGCCGAGCACACATCTTCTGTACAGCTTGAATGATCTTCCGAGCTCTGGTATGACTTGAGACTGGTCGCGAAGTAATCAAATGCCAAGGTACGGCTGTTATCATTCCAAAAGTACTGGGCTGTTCGTGGACACCACCCAATTTGCGCACCGCATCCTGATTGAAGTGGCAAAAGTCAGCTCCCACAGCCCATCTGCCTAATGAATCTTTTCCACTCATGTCATACGCTGTTGCCACCTCTCCGTGGAATACCACCGTCGTCAACGCCTCTGCAAAAAATTGATGTAAAGTGGCAATGACGAACACTGTTTTGGTATCGATTGCCTCACAGAGCAGTCCAATGATTGCTTTAGACTTCCGGAGACATGAGTGAGCTCGTTCAAACTGCGGTGACTTTCCTTGGGCATTCAGTTTCGCCGTTGGCTTACTTCCAGGTTTTACTGGTGTCCTGAAGGTGTTCCAAATATTATCTTCATTCGCAAGTCTTGCCTTCTCGTACATTATGACGCCACGATCTGGCTCGGGGACACCGCGGACATACTTGGACCCTTTGAAATGAGTCTGAATAGTGACCCAGCGCTCGAGAAGAGCGTTCATCGAATTTTCCGTCATCTGCAGAACAGATTGGCCCTTATCTGTGACTCTGAGATAGTTTTTTGATGTCCAAATGACAGCTAGCAACTTCCGCCAGCGTTCCAAAAAAGAGCCAGCCGATGGCAATGCTCTCACGTTCCTTGCGCGACTTCTGACACAGCCATGCATCGAAGCTGGCATTGCCCCAGGCTTTATTGGCATACGGACCGGTTTCGTTCCAGAATTCTCGTTCGATGTAGCCAAGTCGCTTTGGGAAATTGTTCCAGTAGCTCCCATCTTGATGTTCGTCCCAACTTGCATCAAACCAGTACTTATATGGATCGTGAAAGACGACTTCGATCCGCGGGAGGGCAGGTTCTTTGGGAAGTGGAAGATATTCCATACTATTGAACTGCTGTGCAGAGTGCGTAAAGATAGGAAGTTGCTCTACATAGGGGGGTACAAAGAGTAGAGGCAAATTACAAGGGTAAACACAGCAGAATGAACTAATAAGCCCTTTTTAAAGGTTTAACACACCTTCTCAGGGTTAAATCGTGTCACATTCAGCCTGCATGAAGCTTATCTCCTGTGTCACTGAATGGGTAACTTCTCTTTATAAGGGATAGCGCTGCCGCAACCCTAATTGATTTAAACTCATTTTAGCGCAGTAACTTTGCTGCAGCCGTGGCAAAAGGAACATCAAAACTTTATAACACTTATTACTTTATAGATTAATGTTGACCTTCTGAGAGGGCTTATTGGCCGC